CATTGGTCTGATCCAGTAGGACTCTTCTTATGTTCTTAACATTTTTCTTCAGCAGGGATTTTGATTGTGCAAAATTGTGCTTGAGATTCCTATGCACTGCTACATAAACTCTGATCATGATTTCTTAATCCTCTTTGCCTGCATTCTTGTCAAATGAGAAAAATCAGCCAGTCATTAGATCTGATGTACTGGCAACAGAACTGAAAATACTTATGAAGGGGGGGGGGATATCAAAGTTTTCCAGCAAAGACATAAAATAAAGCACCTGGGAATTGTACAGTCCTGGCATCAATAGATCCACATTTGACCCTCTTTATGCAGTTCATTTTACTGTCACTATCCAGAGGACCAAATATTAGTGGTGGTATGAGAATCAATACACTTCAGACCTATTTTTCTCCTGCTGGTCATAAAAATTTGCAGAGCGACTACTGGCTACATATCTGCTTTTACAAACAGCCACAATGATTCTGCTGTGACAGATGTTAACCATGACAAGAGGTATTAACACCAGCAGTAACTAAACCCTGTTGATTATACATTTGGCATAATTCTCTTAACTTCCTTGGTACATGAACACTGATGATCATGTACACATGCTTATCTATGGACAGAACCCAATATCATCTGTTATATCATCTTGGGCTTATTCACTAATATGTAACATGCTACTGTGCATCAACAATCCCCTTCTGCTCTCTATATATGGCAACAAGATCCCTCCCTATGTAGAAGAACAAGGGGACATAAATCTGACATAAAAATGGCAATATTAAAAAAAAGAAATGGGGGGAACATTTCAGTCTCCTAAGACACACTGTTGCTGATCTCAAAGTCACCATTCTACTTCTACAACAGCAAATTACACAAAGGGAGCTTCAGTGTCAAACTGCTAAAGTAGCATTCATCAAGGAGTCTGAAATCATCTTCCAAAGACCAGAGATTTCCTAGTCATTACAAGTGTCCACAAGCTCAGCAGAACTATAGAAACTGTATAACAAATTACTTCTTCTACAAGTAGTGTTTGTACTTTTCCTTGATCACATTTTACACAACTGCATCTCACCCTATATGTTCTGCATTTTCAAGGCTTTCAGCTCTGCTGTTTATATCTTTTCCCCTTCTTAAATCTGGGGGTTTTGTGTTTGTGAGTGATTGCCAAGTGAGGATCTACCTCATATACCTGACAATGTGGACTGCTCACCATAGAAGTTTATGCTGGAATAAAAATCTTGTTGCCCTTTAAGATGCTACAAACTAGTGGTTTACTTTAGCTGCAACAGACTACCACTTCAGGAATTGTTACTGTGGAGTTTGTGTAAACACTTCCAATGGGAACCAGGGTCATTGGCAGTCTACCATCCCACGGCCACGCTTGATGCGGTGTTCCTGGTAAGTCCTCCTCTGTAGGAGGTTCTTTTTTGCAGTGGGTTTTCCGGCTTTAGGGACGGATCGGGGACGGGTGCGTGCCGCTTCCCAGATGTTGCGGTGAGATCGCGCCTGTTTGCTGCGCCCCCGATCCGTCCCTCTCCCGGGCCAAAACCTTCCGTGTGACCGGGATATCTATTTTTAAAAGGATATTTATGCAAGATCAGGATAAATAAATGGTGAACTAGCAAAGGCCTGAAATCTATGAATTTCTATTAGTGGATTAAGTACATGCTTAGAAGATATGCCAACATATGTAAATCTTAGAATTACCAGGGTTATCAAAGCTAGAGAAAACATGTAGAATTCTACATGTTTTTAAAACAAAAAGGAGTTTTGTGGCTCCTAGTAGATTTATTGTGGCATAAACTTTTTCATATGCAAGAAGAATATTTGGACCTAAAGAAAGAAGTTGCAAATAATAGGGTGAAAAGGCAAACGAACTGCAAGAGGTGCAGTACTAAGCCTACAAAGGAACTTCAGGCCTTTACTGTGGCACTGTCTACTGTGCTAACCTTGATTCAGAGTGACATTGCACAGGAAATATTAAGAACCAGGCATACAATTTCTGTATGAGGAGGTAAACTTTTTCTGGCAATATGCACTGGAATGCCTGATTTTTATTTAAATTTTTAAAGATGTAGTATTGACATTTTAAATTTGAGAGGGGAAAAAATTCCACAACTTTTAAATCCCACAACTTTCCCATCTCCTTAGATTGTATGTAGAAGATATGTGTATGTATGTGTACTTTAATAAGTACTGTCAAGAGACTACAACTTGGAGCCTAACCCCCCTTTGCTGTTCATGGAAGGATTATGTGCAGTTATCAGTATCTCCTCCTTCCCACGGCTGATGTCCACTTCACACAACCCCCCCCCACTATTTCAGGGTTCTGCTGCCCCCATCCCACCATGATTTCAGGGGACACAGAAGGCTGTACTGGAAGGAAGGAGGCAGGAATATTACCTTCCATCTAGCACAGACACGCTTGCACTAGACATAATTTACACCTACATAATGCTACATTCAGAATGGTTGCTAAGGAAAACTTCAGTGGAAACACAATTTTTAGTGAAATTCTATTTTGGTAGTTTTAATTATGTTAACCTGATCGACTAATGTAGACAAGCGTGGAATTTCTTTTTCAAGAGTTCTTACAATGGCTGCAATACTCACAGTATGTCAATTTCACTGCATTTACTGTGATATACAGTAATAATATCTTACTAGGAAAATGGTCCGTTGTGGAAATAAATACAACGGCCTCCAGAAAGAGGCTCTGGGCGGGTGCCCCGGCCTTGGACACTCAGTGTCAATTTGCTGTGGCGACCTCAGCAGGGTATAATGACACTGAGTCCACCATTTTCTCCAGAGGAACTGATCTCTGCTACCTAAAGAACAGTTGTAATTTTGAGTGATCTCCAGCCCTCACCTGGAGATTGGAAACAATGGTTCCCCAGAAGGGAATGGTTGGTTTGGAGGGTGGAGTCTATGGCTTTGTACCTGTCCGAGGTCCCACGCCTCCTGAAACCTCACCCTCTCCAGGCTCCATCCCTCACATCTCCAGGAATTTCCCACCTGGAGTTGGCAACCCTATCTCCTTCCCAGCCAATCATCAACCTACCTTTATTTCCCCCTCACTCTTCAGCTTTCCACCCCCCACACACCTGCAGCCTCTCCCATGCTCTGAAGCCCTGACTGCTACGTCACATTGGCTGTCATATGGGGGCCACCTCAGCAGCATATAAGGATACAGAGCCCACCATTTTCTCCAGGGGAACTGATCTCTGCCATCTGGTGTCTTCTCCATCCCAAAGAGTCATGGGATACATTCCAGGGACGCACATGGTCCGTATGTGCAACGGCAGGCCCAGGCCAGCCTATTTCTAGGCAAGCATGAGATGCAGAACAAAGCAACACACAACATACAGCAATCCCTGAATACATATTGCATAGGTATTCATGCTAGAGACACACATAAGCAGCATCACCACTATACAGAAATACAAACATAAGCTCATATCGTTACAGTGTGGAATGTTCTAGAGGCTGTTTTTTCTCACCATTCAGCTTTTATTTATAAGGGAGATTACATTGAAGATGATTTAAGAATTAAAATAATAATTGTTAAAGATCAAGTTGTTTTTTCTGTACATTGCTAAAACTAGAAAAACTTCTGCTTGAAGAATTTAAATGGGAGACCTGCCCAACCAATACCGCCCCCCCCCACGAAGCTTACCAATGGAAAGTCCGAATAGGTACAAATAAATAGCATTGCTGCTAATGTACACAGCTCATGGCTAAGCAGAAAATAAAATAAACCCTGTCCTGAATAGATAAGAGGGAATGCGGCACAGCCAATGGAAGGTACATGAGTGTTGTGCTAGTTGGATGGGACCAGCCTAGACAGTACAGGGTAACAGTCAAGGTCTTGAGTGAGAAGTCGAAATCTCAGGTTAACTATGAACTCACTGGCAGCCAGCCAGTGAATTCATGGTCAGCCTGACATCTGAAGCAGGGCCTTCTCACTTAAGTCACAGGAAGAACCCTTCACCTGTAACATAGAAAAGATAATAATGCTAGCCTATCTTTCAGTGCTGTTGCATGGAGTATGGACTCCTTTGAGGACTTAGGTAAAATACTATACATATGGCAAGCAACTGTTATTGAACTTAATAATCCCTGCTAACTTTCAGCTTGCTAGTGGCCAAGCCTCCATTCTCAACTCCTAGCATGAAAACATAAACAACAGCCATGGCTGGAATGAACAATTATAAAGCAGTCCGCATGCTAAACAATGCTATAAAATAATTAATACTGAATTCTAGTCCTATCCACTTGCCTCAGTACTCCCATTTGCACAACAGGAATTTCAACGGACAATCTACTGTTGTCAAAAAATAAGCCAGAGCGGGAGCCAATGTTCCCTCTAAGCTGTAGAGTCTCGTGAGCAAAAATTCTACCCTGTGAGCTACTGGCATTAAAGCTGTGAGCGAGTGACTTGGCTACTGCATACATTAGTCTGCTCTGGAGCCCTCCTTCCTGAGCTAAGAAAAAAGTGTGTGAGCCAGAGGCTAAAAAACTGTGAGCTAGCTCACCCTAACTCAGCTTAGAGGGAACACTGGTGGGAGCCCCAGTTCAGAGTCTGAAAGACAGCATGAACAGTCTTCTTTATTAATTTCTCTTTAGGGCAGAAGAGGGAGAGGGCATTGAAGATGGACACCTGGAGATGAAGGAGCTGGACTTGCTCATTCTCATGCAAGAGTGCATGCTTCCTCCATTGCCTGCTTCCTCCATTGCAACAAATGAGGATTTTATTAAATCACAGGAATTATCCAGCAGGAAGACAGGTAGCTGTGACTAGCAATGTTAGCAAATCTAACGGTTGTAACAAACTACGAAAAGGAACAGATCTGCAAGTTAAGCTTGCCATGTGGTTAAACTTCGGCAGGCAGCTATATTCCACTCCTTCTCTTCTATAAAAAAACAAAATCCATCAAACAAAAACAGAAGAAATGTACAAATTCCAACAATACAAATGAATGTAAAAGATCCCAAAGGGTTTTTACCTGTTTCAAATTGCAGTGATGATCTGGGTCTCTCTAACCTGTCTGGTGGGTCACTGCCATTCCCTGAGGCCATGGTGGAGTGGAGCTTCAGGAGATTAGCACTTGTCTGCAAAAGATAAAGAGACAGACAAGGGACCAGTGAAGCTTTTGGAGTTTGAATCTGGATGCTAGAAAGGATCTTCTCATCAGATTACAAGGCACTTCCCCTCTGAGTGATATTAACATCTTCCTCTTCCCTTAGTGGTGGCTCCACCTCTAAGTAATCTGACTCTGCTTTTCTTCCCCTCCTCCCACCCACAGCCTTATAGTGCCTAAAAAAATTCCTCAGATAACAGTCAGCCTCCCCGCTTCCTTCCCCATCACTCCTCAAACCAAGTTGACAGATAATTTTTCCAGCAAAAAACGGACTTAAGTGCGTTGCCAGAAACTAAATACAATGAGACTCTGCTAAAGTATTTGTAAAAACATCTCTCTCTCTCTCTGTCCAGACAGCTTTGCATATGCAGCAAAAAAATAAAATAAATAAAAATCTTTATTTGGCTCCAGAATTGCCACATACCTTTCTAGCCTGCTTAGTTTTACAAACTGTTAGATAAACCAAATCCTCAAACCAGTAGCCCTCAATCTTAAACAAACATCTAGAACTTTTAAAAAGTTTATCAGGAACCAGGCTTTTAATATTCATATTGATTTGCTTTTTGAAAATTAGATTTATCCCAGTTTTTTGCTAAGGAGCTCAGGACAGTGTCTCAGCAGTTCTCCCAAAGAATTGTGGGGATATGTCTGCCTGCTGCTTAAGATCTACGCTGAGCTTTTGTTTCCCTCCTGTTGCAGGTACTTCATCCTTGGGTGTGGCCTCACAACCTATGGGCTTGAGTTAATGACCCAGAGGCTCTAAGGCCAACCCAGGCTGTTTTTAAGTGTGCACCTTTGTTTTTTAAATTCAATTTGTATTGATGTTGGTTTGGATTCACCAGATCATTTCTATGGACTGAAGGATTCCATCTGCAGAGGGCAACTTTCTTACCTCCCCTCTATCTCTGCAGCCTAAAATGGGCCCCCCAAAACTGCTGCTGCTGGGGGACAGAGGAGGGGACCCCAAGGATTAGCATATCAGGGAAGGTGAAAGACACATTTTGCAGGTGGACTCTTTCTGACTGCAGAAATGCTCTGAAGGATCTAGCCCATGCTATGAAAGCCACTTTGGGTCCTCATAGCAGAGAAAAACAAGATAAAAAATGCACTGACATAAAATAACGACTTCATCTTCAAAACAGCTTTAGGAGCCACATAAGCTGAAAGCCAGCAACTGACCCAAGGTCAGTCTGAAGCGCTAGATTCGAGTCCAGTAGCCCCTTAGAGACTAACAAGATTTCTGGGGTATAAACTTTCAAGAGCCAAAGCTTATACCCTGAACATCTGAAGCTTATACCTTGAATAAAGCTTTGTTAGTCTTAAAGGTGCCACTGGACTCGAATTTTGTCCTGAAAGTCTTGTTAGTCTCCAAGGTGCAACTGGGATCAAGTCTAGCTCTTTACCTGCAGACCAACATTGCACTGACATAAAATAACGACTTCATCTCCAGAACAGCTTTAGGAGCCACATAAACTGAAAGCCAGCAACTGGGGTATAAACTTTCAAGAGTCAAAGCTTATACCCTGAAAATCTGAAGCTTATACCTTGAATAAAGCTTTGTTGGTCTTAAAGGTGCCACTGGACTCGAATTTTGTCCTGAAAATATTGTTAGTCTCCAAGGTGCAACTGGGATCAAGTCTAGCTCTTCACCTGCAGACCAACACAGCTACCCTCTGAAACTAAGGTCAGTCTGGTGAGCTTAGTGGCAGATTGGAGAGCAGATCTCAGCCTAGGCCCCCCTTGCCATACTATGGCTGCAGTCACACGGAGCATTAGCCACGCTACTGAGATGGATGATAGGCGGATTTTCCGGGCATGATCACACCGCAAGATCTGGGAAGCATAGAGCTCCCATGGCGAACCTGAGGCTTCCCGCTGAAGATGCGGAGTTAAAAACTTCTTTGCCGCGCTGCAGGATCGTCGTGTGATCGCCACCTCACCCCTACTCACGGGACCTCGACGGGACCTGTGATCGGGCGGCCACATGTTATTTTGCTCCGGGCCAAACTGCCACGCTTCCCCCCTGCATTTTACGGCCCGTGTGACCGGGACCAATGATACACTAACAAAACACTGGGGAACAAATAAGTTCCCTCCATGTATGGTTGGAAATAGGCCATATTGCCAGTTCTACTTGACAAGCAGTTCTGTACAAATCAAAACCAAGAGGAAAGGCGGGATAGAAATGTTTTAACAAATAAGTAAATAAATAAAAGTTTGCATATTTCTATAGCAATAAAATGACGGACCAAACAGAACACTTATGCTGTAGCTCTTTTGTGATGGACTCAAGAAGACTGCCAAGGAGTACGCATATGGGTGAATTTAAAAGCAAAGAAAATATATCCCCCAAGTAGGAAACAGCAAGGAATTCTCACAGTCCTCCTTGCAGTATGAGACAGAAGGCCCATTGGCTGTGATTCAGTTAATGAAAATTGCTATCCCAAAAGAAAACAGATCAAAGGAATATTAATACCTTTGGTCCATTTTGGACCAGTCCCATATGAAAGCTAAAATACATATTTATCTTGGCTATTCATAGTGTTGCTTTAAATGGGATAACTACAGGACCATAGCTACATTGGGGCATTTTGGGGCCACACCCCCTTATGCCCCACAAGTCATACCCTGCAAGCCCTGCTGCCAGAAACCTCTCTCCCTTCCCTGTCAGCCACCCAGCCAGCCACCCAGCCAGCAGGGCCCTGGCATGTGAGCGAAATCAGCGTGCCCCTGAGTGTGCACACAGCTGGCTGGGAGCAGCAGAGTCCTGGGCTCAGCGGGGCCTGTGAGGAGGGCATGCAAGCAAGCAGGCCTACATGCCTACCTTGGGGGTCTCTTGAAGGCCATGGCGGGGTCCTTTTTGTGTTCTGCAGACATTGTTGGCACACCATTGCTCCTTCCCTCGCCTGCCCGCCCAGCACTGCCTCGCCCGGCCACTCTTGTGTAGTCCCTGGACACATGCAAAGCCACCGCCAGCCCTTCAACCCTTCCTCTGCACCAGCCAGCAGCGCAGCCTTCAGGCAGCCCGCCGAGATTCAGGAGCGGGCAGCTGCTCCCTTTCAAGCCAAACCTCTCTCTGCACAATCCCTTTACCTAACAGCTTGCAATCCAGGTCCACCCTTCTGGTTGCACTGGCTTTTACTGCCCTTGACGGTCCAGTTGCTGATTCCACATCATGCTTTGCCCAGCAGGGTGGGGTGGATTTTTAAAAAATTAGTAATCTAATTAAATTCCCTGCCCCAGTGCCCCTTCCCCACCAACTGAATTTTTCTGGCTATGGGCCTGGGTAACTAGTCCATTAGTATAATCCATTTCTGATGCTGGATTCTTCTCAAGTAAAGAAGTGTTGTGACATTACATGTGGCCACAGACCAGTGGATCCCCTTGCACCTCCTTGCGGGGGTTACCCTACTACGAACCTCATAAGAACATAAGAGAAGCCAATGTTGGATCAGGCCAATGGCCCATCCAGTCCAACACTCGGTGTCACACAGTGGTCAAAAATACCAGGTGCCATCAGGAGGTCCACCAGTGGGGCCAGGACACTAGAAGCCTTCCCACTGTTGCCCCCCCCCCCCAAGCACCAAGAATACAGAGCATCACTTGTCCCAGACTGAGAGTTCCTATTATACCTTGTGGCTAATAGCCACTGACAGACCTCTGCTCCAAATGTTTATCTAATTCCCTCTTGAAGCCGTCCATGCTTGTAGCCACCACCACCTCCTGTGGCAGTGAATTCCATGTGTTAATCACTCTTTGGGTGAAGAAATACTTCCTTTTATCCATTCTAACCTGAATGCTCAGCAATTTCATTGAGTGCCCATGAGTTCTTGTATTGTGAGAAAGGGAGAAAAGTACTTCTTTCTCTACCTGATCTATCCCATGCATAATCTTGTAAACTTCTATCATATCACCCCTCAGTCGTCATTTCTCCAGTCTAAAGAGCCCCAAGTGCCTTAACCTTTCTTCATAGGGAAAGTGTTCCAACACTTTTATCATTCTAGTTGCCCTTTTCTGCACTTTTTCCAATGCTATAATATCCTTTTTGAGGTGTGGTGACCAGAATTGCACACAGTATTCCAAATGAGGTTGCACCATCGATTTATACAGGGGCATTATGATACTGGCTGATTTGTTCTCAATTCCTTTTCTAATAATCCACAGCATAGCGTTGGCCTTTTTTTACTGCAGTTGAACACTGTCTCAACATTTTCAGTGAGTAATCTGCTACAACTCCCTCTCTTGGTCAATCTCTGCCAGTTCGGACCCCATCAATGTGTATTTATAGTTAGGATTTTTGGCCCTCATGTGCATCACTTTGCACTTGGCTGCACTGAACCCCATTTGCCATATTGACACCCACTCGCCCATCCTCGACAGATCCCTTTGGAGCGCCTCACAATCCTCCCTGGTTCTCATCACCCTAAACAATTTAGTGTTATCTGCAAATTTAACCACTTCACTGCTTACTCTCAACTCCAAATCATTCATGAACAAGTTAAAAAGCATCAGACCCAGTACTGATTCCCACACTACCCCACTGCTTACTACCCTCCACCGTGAAAATTGCCCATTTATACTCTCTGTTTCCTATTAATTAGCCAGTTTTTGATCCACAAGAGGACTTATCCTTTTATCCCATGACTATTGAGCTTACTTAGGGGCCCTTAATGAGGAACTTTATCAAAAACTTTCTGGAAGTCAAGGTAAACAACATCTATTGGGTCCCCCTTGTCCACATGTCTGTTCACCCCCTCAAAGAACACTAACAGGTTAGTGAGAAGATTTTCCCTTACAGAATCTGTGCTGAGTCTTCCTCAATAGTTTTGTTTATCAATGTGCCTACTAATTCTTTCCTTAATAACAGTTTCCAGCAACTTACCTGGTACTGATCTCCTCTGGAACCCTTTTTAAAGATGCGGGTAACATTAGCTATCTTCCAGTCCTCAGAAATGAAAGCAGATTTTAATG